GGTCCGCACATCCATAATTTGTGTGTGAGCGGACGACAGCTTTCCATTATCGATTCGATCCTGCAGAGTGATCTGCGTGGCAACGCTGGCTTCTCGACGGCAGCAAATGCAGTGGACACCTTTTGGGGGCTCTCCTTTACTCGCGTCCAGAAACCAGTTTGAAATCCCGATTCTTGATCTCGAACTTAGGATCTCCATTACCCTGGCTGAACCGGAATAACTTAAAAATAAGCAAAGCTTCAGAAGGAGGCATCCGAGCGCAATAAGGAATGAGAGACAACCAAAAGAGAACATAAACGGCACCCGTTTTCCTTTTTTTTTTTTTTTTGTCCTTTTTGTATTTGTGCGCGCGTGTGTGTCCCTTTCCTTTCTATTTGCTAAGTGAGGAGTCGGCTACCGTTTTTACGCACCAGCGTTAAAATACAAGTTGGTTTAACGGAAGAACGCTAAACCAACGCGTTGTTATTTTTTTTTTTTTTTTATTTTAGTGGGACGGTACGGCTCGCATGGTTTCACGCAGAGACGTACAACGATTAAGCCGGGGTCAGACCGATGGTCACACTGCTTATACATCATACAGAATACGGTCTGCATACAGATTCGAAGGCGAGTCGGCGCTAGATCCGTGCTTCCAATGCCGCATGGCAATGAGTTCAAGGAAAAAAAACTTGGCACGCGGCGTTCAAACCACGGTTATTGTAGTGACTCGTGTTTGCAGACTGTCGTTTGTGTGATGTATGAGCAGTGTGACCCCACGGCACGCATGCATGCAGGGTAATGCGCCCAACGAATACCCATATGCTCCTGAACAGCAAATACAGGTGCCAATGGTCTTATTATGTTTATAGTCCGAAACAATAGGTAGTTCGTTAGTCGTGGGAGCCCCGTCCACTTGAAGTAGACAGTTTTATCAGAAATATGTTAGCTTTTGAGCGGCAAATACTGCTACCGAGCGTCTTATTATATTTATATATACGTCTTATGTTTGCATCTCTATAGCAAATAACAGACATTTGAATTGCAGTAAAGCTGCAACAAAAGTTGTTCATTGGACGCGGGTGACTAGTTCCCATGAAGTAGACAGCCAGATCAGAAAATTATGTAAAGTGGTTTTAAATATAATACAGAAAACTTCATGACCGTCGACGAAAACTATTCCTAGAATTTTAACGGTAGTTTATAAGCAGTTTATTGAAAAAGGAAACGTTTATGCGGCACAAGACTAGTGTAAAAGGCGTTCGCATTTCGACGATAACTCAATTTCGGCGAAGTACTTGTCCAAACGCCGAAAGAGCGCCGTAGGCCTGGTTCACACTTGCGAATCGGCGGGCGAATCTTCAAGAATTCGGCCGCCGGGCGTAGCGTCCACTGTGCATTGCCGCGGCCGATTCCGCTTCGGCGGCAGCGGATAAGCTGTAAGTGTGAACCAGGCCTTAGGGTGGCGGATTTAGTCCGTCATTGTGCAGGGATTCAGCAGCTTCCAACAAAGGGAAGACTTACGAAATGGGTCTATTACACGCTCCCGGTTGATGGCTGGCTGATTGTTCGAGGGTCAAAAGAAGTAAGCGAAATGAAAATATACAAACTGACTTTTGCGAGGCGATTTCACACACAAAAGCCATACAGGCTCGTCCGAGCGGTGTGGACAACCGCTACAGATACGCTTATCTGACTGAACTGCTCTACGTGAACAAACAGATAGGCTCTCAGGCTCTACGTGAACAAACAGATATGCTCTCAGATTATCGAAATGCTGATGACACGTGGTTTCTCGAGAACTTGGCGGGAGACAGATTACATAAGAACGTTGGTGCTACGTGAAATCGTCTGGTTCTCTGAACTTTTACGTGGTGACGATGTGTGTGCGTTCGTGTGTGTATGTGTGTGTGTGCGCGTGTGCGTGTGTGTCCGTGCGTGCGCGTGCGTGCGTGTGTATGTGAACGTTGCGTGTGCGTGCGCGTGTGCGTGTATGTGTGTTGAAGTGCCCTCTTTTACTCTTGGTGTGTGGGCAGTCTTGGTGTGTGAGCAGTCGATAATGGTACACATGCTATTCGGGCCACTGCCCACCGCCATGACAGAGAGCCGAGAACACCCCCGGTTCTAAGTTTGTTTGCATGCTTTTAAAGGGCCATAACACCGTTATGTTTCGTGCATTCCTCAATTAAGCCGATCTTTTGTTACGTATTTCGCGTCCGTTGGCTTCTTGAAGTGCTGAATGCTTTTGTAATTGGCTGGGCAACTTTTCTGTAGCAGATTTCCGCGAAATAAAAGCTGCAGCGAGCCACGGCCGTCAAGCGCAGACAGTGGCTGTCACCCGCGCGTCGATTTCACGCTCATCACTAGGATCGCTTAATCTTGAAATCAAAGATGCACACATCCGACTCTTCCGGACAGCGAAGATACTTGATCGAAGGAATCACATTCGAGTTCTGATCAAATAAATATTGGTTTATAGATTAATTAATATTCACCCTAATATATATTTTTATTTTAGCCAGAACCACCCTGGCCCGAATGCAGGTTTTTATAACACAGACGAACTTGGTACTGCATAAAATATTTAAAGCATAAAGGAACAGTTCTTATCAATTTTTTTAAAATCTCAGAGCAGAATTATTTGCTACCGTCGATTTTCGTGTGCATGCAAGCTTGTGAACAGACGGTTAATCTGATAGTCCTGAACAGACTCCAGCAAAAACCCACAGACAAACAAAAAAAAACACGAAAAAAAAACCCCGTAAATTTGAGAGTTTGTGCCAGCGGAGAATTTCAGAATGTGGGGGATCTTTTCGCGTGTTCGGTTCCACGTCAACTTCAAACACGTCAATTTTGAAGTTTGAGTGCCACGATTTTTTTTTTCGGCATGTAATCAAGGGGTCCATATCACAAGAGCGAATGACGTTTTAGCGAACAGCGACATTTGAGCGAATCAACGTTTTAGCGAATAACGGGGGCGCGCGTTAACCCATCCGCCGCGCTGCGCTTTACGCCGCTTCGCCAGCGACAGTCTGCGGCGGCTCATTACAAAAATGTTAACCCACTTGGCCCACCCGAAAACGCCGCTTCGCGGCGTCCGACTATTCGCTAAAGTGTCGTTCGGTGAAACGTGGGCGTTCGCTAAAACGTCATTCGATCAAGTGAGTGCCTCCCGTCCCTAGGAGTGTCGCGCGATTGTAACAAGTCGGATGGAAAACTAGTTTTCTTACCATATCGCCTGAGCTCTAGAATCTAAACTTGCCTTTCGACTTCCGCGTCTGCAACTGTATCCACGTGAATATCATTCACGGGATTGCCGTGGTAGTTCGACGTTGTCACAATCACGAACTCCACTCGTCGTCGAAAACACGCCGCTTGATTTTTGCCTTGAACGAGCAGCGCAATCGTACACGCTGTGACGACTTGGTTCCAATCGCGATATCTCTGCTCGTCGTCGAAAACGCACCACTCGCTTTTTCCCGGGCACGATCGAGCACGAGTGACACAATCCCTCGCACCGCCCTTCAACTATGTTCGGCAGGCATAACCTAGTTTCGCTTTGGCCAGCTCGAACACTTACGGCGACGCCAGGCAGTTGATGACGCGATGTTGTTCTCACACATGCTCTCCCACGAGAAACACGAGACATTTACATGCCTCGGTTGATTCGTGGGCGTCTAACTTCGTTGAACGTCTCACGTGTACACAAGTTTCCCCTGGGCCGCCAGGTATACGGCCACGTATGTTTCGCCAGAGAGGTCAAATAAAACGAGATGCGGTGCTTTTTCTTGTCGCCGTATGGTCCAGAAACACACACCGATTACGTCAGGTTTCGGGCATACCTTTTCCCACTTTCCGCCGAGAAAAACTTAAAAGACGCGCTGCGCATTCTTTCTCATTGAAACATGCACATAGTCCACCGGAAGTTATCGCGGCCACAGGAAGTCCCGCCATTACTTTTTTTTTGTGTTTACCTCGGAATACCATGTATACCTTACATTCGTTTTATTGAATTTAGTAATGGTTTATTGCGTCGAAAGCAGCAATGCTCGGCTTCGAGTGAAAAGGGAAGGTATATAGTTTAAGTGTTTACGCAGCAAGTATCGTACAAACTACACTAATGCGGTTTGTGCGGGTGAGTTATAGGGCCAGGTGGACATAGAATAGGGGGCTCATCGTAACGATCAGTCGGTCCATTAACCAAAATGCATTAAATAACTTTTTTTTCTTAAATAAACTTATGACTCTTATTAATGACTTTCTGAGCGTCGCCGAAAACCATTAAATCAGTCAACATTAGAAAGACTTGGAGCACGTGCGAAGCACGGTAGAGCGGTAAAGTTACCACTCGTGTAGCGGGAGCGAGGCCACCCCCGTGCGATAACGTGCCCCAGCGTTTCTTCCGTCTCTTATCATTCGCGTTTTCTCAGCCCAGCCTTACGAGCGCTAACTTCAGCGCAAAACTGCGCTTCCCACGTCTTTCTAAAAATTACTGATTTAGTGGCTTTCGATTACGTTCAACGAGTTTCTAATTAGGGCCGTACGTCTTTTCCTCAATAATTAAGAACTTCATTAACGAGTTTTAGTTTACCATTCAGCTTCTCGTGACGACTGTATAGTCGCCAATAATATCATGTCCCCCTGGCCGTATAACTCACTTGCTCAAACCGTATCGGTGTAACTTTCGTGGCACTTTTTTCTTCTTCAAGCAAAGCTCTTGAGCTTCGAAAGAAACACCTTGTATAAAAGAGACGGTATTCGCTGCAGACGCGAAGATAACATTATCTGCGGACAGACGTCAGGCGTATTCGAAGCAGCTTTATGCATGCTTCGAAATGTGACAGCACAATTAGACAGTGTCTGTACAGATCGTCTCTAGTATGGTGTATGAGCAGTGTGACCTTAGTTAAGAAGTCCCAAAGCTATTTAGTAGTGGCTAGCGATGTGGTGCGATCCTCCCGGTGTTAAATAGTTGTAATTTGTCGGAGGCATACGTAAACCGCTGCGGTGTCAATCCGACGCAGTGACGGACGCCCTAGTGAAGCCGCCGGCGGGCATCCTGGGCGGCACGTTCAGCTTCCTTTCGTCATTCGACGACTGCCTCGGAGTGCCTCCGGCCAACACGACGGACGCCTTCCTCAAGCGGGCTTTCAACATCTCGACCCTGGCCCCGAGCTACTGCTCCTTCAAGATCAGCGTGGGCCTCCCGGACAACGACACCGAGCTGCACCACGAGCCGCCTCAGGGAGGGCTCATGGCCATGCTCGAGAAACAGGTGAAAAAGTCGGCATTGTCTTCGTCGAAGCTTAAACAAAAAAGGACAGAAGCGCCGAAAACAACGAGGACCGTAGGCGAGTTAAGAGAACACAAGCGCCGTCTTACTTTGTATTGGTTCTTGCTGTTTTTGACGCCTTTCTATGCTTTAATCTTTCAACCAACTATTCCCATATTAACCGCTTTGCTCCTTCGAAGGAACGTGCTACACTTTTACACGGATTGTGTTTAGGGCTGTAGTCTGTTGAAATTTGAAAGCGGAACAAGGCTCCTCCCTCAGAAAGCCTTCCAGTTTTCCCACCTGAGTGGAGCGAAGGCTGGAGAGGAGGAAACAACTAATCATGGCGAGCAAAGAGCCTTGTGGGAGGGGCGGGGCTTTCCTTGTTTTCCGCATCTTCATCAAATTATAGGGTAGCAGAATAAAATGTCCCCAAAAGTGTAACGTCATTTTTTGTGTATTTCAAGCATACCTCGGCAGACCTCACTCATGAGGGCCCTCACTCACCCTCACTCACCCTCATCTTCACAGGTGAGGTGAGGGTGAGTGAGTTTCTGAACCAGGAAAATTCATGAGTGTGAGGGTGAGTGAGGGCCGTGAGGGCTGTGAGGGCTGTGAGGGCCGTGAGGGCGGTGAGGGCCGGCCCGTGAGGGCCATGAGGGCGGTGAGGGCCGTGAGGGCCATGAGGGCCGTGAGGGCCATGAGGGCCATGAGGGCGGTGAGGGCGGTGAGGGGTATGAGGGCCATGAGTGCGTGAGGGGCGTGAGGGTGGTGAGTGGCGTGAGGGTCATGAGTGCGTGAGTGGTGTGAGGGTGGTGAGTGAGTGAGGGGCGTGAGGGCCGTGAGGGCGGTGAGTGCATGAGGTGTGTGAGGGCCATGAGTGCGTGAGGGCGGTGAGTGCGTGAGGCGCCCTTCAGATCGAGCATCTTTCTCAGCAATTTTGGTGTTAATGGCGGGTTGTTCTCTAGCTTTCCCTAGATCGACACGAATTGCTGAAATCGGGTCCGGCTCGAAATAAACAAGCAACTCAGAGCAATTCGAATACGTTTGCAGCGGCTACATCCAATCAGGGACGCAAAATTTTCACGTGATACCTCGTGCCGGTGATGATGACACCGAAAGACTTGGTTCTGGTTTGAAATCTATCGTTTTTTTTTTTGGAAATAAACTGTTTCAGAAAGGTGCATTAGTATTCTTAACGAGATTTAAATGCATAAAAACACGTTTATAACGCGTAATTGTGTATAAATAGTGCAAGAAAAATAAAATTTTATGATGACGATGGCAAATTGCAGCAATTGGTTGCTGCGTGTGATCGCGGGCGGCCCGTGTTGCTGGTGTTGCGACGTAAAGTTTCAGTGCGAAATTGCCCCATCTGAAGCTGGCCTGAGTGGCGTGAGGGCCATGAGTGCGTGAGGGGTGTGAGGGCCGCAAGGGCGGTGAGTGTCGTGAGGGCGGTGAGTGGCGTGAGGGCGGTGAGTGGCGTGAGGGCCGTGAGGGCGGTGAGGGTCGTGAGGGCGGTGAGGGCGGTGAGGGCGGTGAGTGGCGTGAGGCCTATGAGTGCGTGAGGGCCGTGAGGGCGGTGAGGGCCGTGAGGGCGGTGAGGGCGGTGAGTGGCGTGAGGGCCGTGAGGGCGGCGAGGGCCGTGAGGGCGGTGAGGGCCGTGAGGGTGGTGAGGGCCGTGAGGGCCGTGAGGGGCGTGAGGGCCGTGAGGGCGGTGAGTGCGTGAGGGCCGTGAGGTTCAGTGAGGGTGAGTGAAGGGCTGAAGGTGAGTGTGACTGTGAGGGTGAGGATGAGTGAGGGGCTGAAGGTGAGTGTAGCTGTGAGGGTGAGGGTGAGTGAGGGGCTTAGGTGAGTGTGGCTGTGAGGGTGAGGGTGAGTGAGGGCGACCTAAAATGCCGACCTCTGATTTCAAGCTCAAGCAATACCATGTATAAGAAACAAGCGCAGCTCGAAACACGCTTCATATTTTTGATTTCCCGACTTTGTCCGGATGATCAAACTGTGAGGAGACCTAGAAAGTTAGCGCCTCTTTTTCGTGAATTCTGAGAAGCTGTTGTAAAACAAGTATGAATGCGGAGAAAATATGGAAAGCCTTTGGGTATTTCCTCTCGTCTCCGAGACGTCACTAAGATCGCCAGCGTGACTTCACGGCCTGGCGACTGTTGCTCACCAGAAATGAACCCGGCTCGGTTTAGGTTCAGTTTGTTTCGGTGACCCAAGCCTGACGGAACGAAGTGTTGCAGGGTCAAGCATCTCGAAATCGATCCCACACCTGCCAGTTTCGATATGAACGGTGAACGGACGTGTATTAGTGTACTCAGTCAGTATAACTTCATGATGCGCCTCAAGACTCCAGGACTCCAGGTCAGTCCTGGAGTACTGTACTCGCCGAATTGCGCCCCTCTAGAAGAAAGACACAAATCACCTCATTTATTGGCAATAATGTTTTCTAAACAACCATATAACCCAAACCTGACTTCGACTTTTGGCATTGCGAGAACGCGTTTTCACCAGTCGTTTGGTCCGTTTGACTTGTTTCTCTCGTGCTCTGAGATCTTTCCTGGATAACGGCGTCCGCGCCCTGAATAGATGCCATCTACAGATATTCATGGTCAAAAGGGGGTCGAAAATTCACCTCAGTGTCGTGAAACGCCGTAATATTTGCATAGCAGATGTAAAAGGAAGATACCAAACGCTTTTCAGTTTTGACAGTGCCAAACTATAATCTAGGGACCCTGAGTGCACCATAGAAACATCAGTATTTGTTTTTACAGATTGAGCCACTTCTATTAAATTTTGTCATATTACAACCATACTTTAAAAGAACGAATAAATTTGCTGAGAACGCGTTCTTGGTGTATATGTAAATGTTAGCAAAATATAATAACTTTATTCTCCCAATGAAACGGTTATTCTCTCCTTCTCCTATAAAGATTATGGAATATGTTTTGATAACCACAATTATTCGATAAGCAGACAGGGTTACGAAGAACTGATACTGTCACTTTCTCTCAAAGTTAGTTGTTAGGCCGTGCCTAAGGTGTTAACAGCGGCTTTTTTTATTTACTTTGAGCGAACGTTCAAACGAAAATCAAAAAGTGTCCCGCGATGTACATAATTCTAAGGTTCTACCGTAATCCTGGTAGTCTGTTCAGGCTCTAGGGGCTGTCCTGGTTGGCCCTATTTCTTTTGCCTAACTCGGGCATATGGTCGGGCCGCGTCTGTACTATATTTGTGTAACTATGAGCACAGAGGACAATGAAACAGTGATGATAGTCATCTCGTGAATATTGAAACTATGTTATGACGTTGTCACGTTTAAATACTTATACACTGGTTATATTTCGTTTCTAATGTGCCAAACGCAAAACAAGCGTGGTAGCAATGAAATAGACAAATCATACTTTTTTTTGAGGTCACGTAGCGAAATCAAAATTTGAATGTTCATTTTCTTATCGAGTTGGCCAGTCTATTCAACATTCCAGTAAGCGTTGGAATATTTGTCTTTCCGTCCTCTTTTTTTTTTTTAATTTATTTAGGAAGCTAATGAGAGTATGCCCTTAGCTCTAACCGCGACACGCTTAAGAAAAAAAAACTGTGGATTCGGAATTCCACGTCTCGCGCCGTCGAAGGGCAAAGGGTCGCGAGCCTACATCTTCAAATACCAGGAAGAGAACGTTTTTGCGAAAACCATGGCAAACGGTGAACACGCTCTCCGAGAAAGAAGGAAAAAAAAGTGAGAATAGCACAAACAATAAAAAGCAAATGTGTTTTTAAACAAAGGAAAAAAGAGACGCTGATCAAACAGGAAGCTCTACTCAGTCAGGGTCGACAGCTTCCTGAGTAAATAAATGATAGGACTCTGGATGTACGACTCAATCCTACGGCATACGTGGCCCGTGTTACGTATGATGAAATAAATGTAAACGGAAGTCGTCGTTTTTCTTTATTTTATTTTATATATATATATATCTTAGCCCGGAAAATAACTATTGCGCCGTTGAACACTCAGCGCTTATGTGCCGTATACAAGATATCGTACGATTCACGATTGATTTAAGCAAAATTTGCGTTTGTCACGGTGGTGTTCGAAGAATGGCGCACGCATAGTCCGACGTTTTCGCGTCGCTTTGTGCGGAGTTTGCGATACCGCAACGTTTTCCGCCTTCGTATCGCCCGTCTCTATTTGCCCTGCCCCGTTTCCGGCTGAACTCCGTGTTATTTGCATATCAGTCCATTTAGGTCTACCCATCCTCGCTTTATTTGTAAAGTTCGCTGCCCTCCCCTTTCCCTTTCCTTCCCTTGTACCCTCACACTTCTTTCTCTCCCTCTCTTTCGTACACACACACACACACACACGAGCGGTTGGTTGGTTGGTTGATTTGGTGTTTATGGCGCAAAAGCAACTAAGGCCATAGAGCGCCAAAAACGAACACACGAGCGCGCGCGCGCGTATGCAGGCACACACACGAGCGCGCGCGCGCTGTGCAGGCATACACAGACAAACACATGCACACGAGCGCAGACGCAGACACAGACAAACACACACACTAGCCCTACTCTGAGGCATCCAAATGACGTGCCAGACCGCACAAAGCAATGCCTCCTAACCTAACCTAACCTTACCCTAACCGCTACCTTATAACCATGAAATCCTATTATAATTGTGATCTTCAAACCGGAAGTATAGTTTGTCCGTGGTGCCTCCCTCTGTCTTCTTTTCCTTTGTCATTATTGCTTAATTTTCCTCGTTTATTTGTGAACTAGCCTTTTACATCGGCGTCCTTCCGCATCAGCGTCCAAACGGACCAATCCAAACCTTCCTCCGTCCCTAACATTCTGTGCTTCTTTTTTTTTTTTCTTTTATGCATTTGCGCAAGTTTTGTTTCTCCGAAGAAGGATAATAAAAGCGAGTTTTCGTAGACCACGTTGCCCCTCCGCTAAGCGCTCCGCAACGAAGTTGCTACTGCGCCTGCGCGCCGATAGCCTTGACTGTGGAG